TCATACACTGTGACATTATTATTACACAGTAACGTATGCAATAAGTAAAAAGGGGTACTAATGATGGAACTTTGTAGTGCAGAACAGCAGTCTGTAAGCGGCATTAGATGATTCTGTTCGATAATTTCTTTATTTTATTGTTTTTAAACAGATGTAGAACTCCATTGAAGCTGGCATAGAAAAGATCTAAAAGTTGATGAAAAGCCACAGCCACTACGTTTACATAAGATGTCCCTGTCAGACCTCCAAAATGCCAGTCATGGCAGCGAGAAGACTGGTGACATAACCGCCTCGACTTTTTTTGTACAAAATGAAGAGGAGTAAAGCGGAAAACCACACAAAATGGCTGCTGCAAAAAAAATGGCTGCAGATGGGAGCTGTGTGTGGCACGGTGTAAAGTCGTAGTTAAAAAAAAAAAAAAAAAAAGGAGAAGTGATGGAGAAGGAGGATGATGGGAAGAGGGAGAGCAGCCAGTCAGTGGATCAGTCACTCCAGGCCTGGCCTCTCGACGGGTGGTTGTGCTCGGGGCGAGATCACAGGCCTGCTGCCACGCCGAAGCCTTCACAGGCACACAGCGACAGATAGGAAGTTTCTGGCACCAGGTCGCCTCACTGATTCACCCCGGCTCTGCCTCGGCTCAGCCTTCTTCTCTTTCACCCGATCTTCTACTGCCTGAGCCTGACCTACATGTAGACCTGCTCATTTTCTCCCTACAGCCGCCATAGGTTGAAATATTGGGGGACTTTGTTGTCTTGGTCTTAAAAGTTAAAATTGGTCTATAATAAAGAATAGTTTTGTTGCACCATAATGATTCATAGTAAGAGGAAACACACAGCTACTCAAAAGTCTATCTCTAGTGATGCCAAATTATTCTGACTGTTATTGTGACATTCAGTCTTGTGTCTTCTACAGTGCACGACATTTGCACAAAAACGTTCGCCTTGAAAAAGAGTGTTTGACGAATGAAAGTGTTGATATTATTATGGCTATGAGCTGCCACTGCTTATGGTGATCTCATTTAATGATTAATCCAGTGTTTGCACAAGATGGATCACCATCGATGCTGACATTAAAGACAGAAATATGTATCTTTTTTTTTTTTACTCAAACACAACAAAGATTGGTATCATGCGATGAAATCAATCAATAGAAAACAATAATTAAAAAAACCTTCTGATGGATGGATGGAACAAAGGATGGATAAAAGGATGAATGGATGGATGAAAGTATGGCTAAAGGATGGATGGATGAAATGATGGATAAAAGGATGGATGGATGGATGAAAGGAAGGATAAAAGGATGGATGGATGGACAGACAGATGGATAAAAGGATGGATGGATGGATGAAAGGATGGATAAAAGGATGGATGGAAGGATGGATGGATGGATGAAATGATGGATAAAAGGATGGTGACATGGATAAAAGGTTGGATAAAAGGATGGTTACATGGATGAAAGGAAGGATAAAGGATGGATGGATGAATAAAAGGATGGATACATGGATGAAAGGATGGATAAAAGGATGGATACATGGATGAAAGGAAGGATAAAGGATGGATGGATGGATGAAAGGATGGATACATGGATGAAAGGATGGATAAAAGGATGGATACATGGATGAAAGGATGGATAAAAGGATGGATGATGAAAGCATGGATAAAAGGATGGATGGATGGATGGATGAAATGAAGGATAAAAGGATGGATGGATGAAAGGAAGGATAAAAGGATGGATGGACAGACAGATGGATGAAAGGATGGTTGGATGGATGAAAGGATGAATAAAAGGATGGATGGATGAAATGATGGCTAAAAGGATGGATGGATGGATGAAAGGATGGATAAAAAGATTGGATACATGGATGAAAGGAAGGATAAAGGATGGATGGATGGATGAAATGATGGATGATGAAAGCATGGATAAAAGAATGGATGGATGGATGGATGAAATGAAGGATAAAAGGATGGATGGATGAAAGGAAGGATAAAAGGATGGATGGATGGATGGACAGACAGATGGATGAAAGGATGGTTGGATGGATGAAAGTATGGATAAAAGGATGGATGATGGATGAAAGGATGGATAAAAAGATTGGATACATGGATGAAATGAAGGATAAAAGGATGGATGGATGAAAGGAAGGATAAAAGGATGGATGGATGGATGGATGGATGGATGGATAAAAGGATGGTTGGATGGATGAAAGTATGGATAAAAGGATGGATGATGGATGAAAGGATGGATAAAAAGATTGGATACATGGATGAAAGGATGGATAAAAGGATGGATGGATGGATGAAAAGATGGATAAAGGATGGATGGATGGATGAAAGGATGGTTGGATGGATGAAAGATGAATAAAAGGATGGATGGATGGATGAAAGGATGGATAAAAGGATGGATGGATGGATGAAAGTATGGATAAAGGATGAAAGGATGGATGGATGAATGAAAGGATGATGGAGAATGGATGGATGAATGGATGATATTCATTTGTGATCCTCCTTCTTCATTTTTTAATTAGATTCTTAAGCTAACATTTAGCTAGTTTCTTATGTAAGGGGGCGGCTGTGGCTCAGGTGGTGGAGACGTCGTTTCCCAACTGGAAGGTCAATGGTTCAATGGATGTGTGGATGCTTATGAATGGGATTAGTTACTTCTGATGGACTCTACACAGCAGCCTCTGCCATCAGTGTGTGAATGTGTAGGTGTGACTTGAAGTGTAAAATCGCTTTGAGTAGTCTGAAGACCGGAAAAGAGCTTAACAAGTCCATTTACCATTTCGCCCCAGCTTTGAAGCACGCGTATATCGATTGATTATCTTTTTGTTTTCATTCCTTCAATCTTCTGTGATAATCACTTCTGTTATCAATACATTATTTATGTTACAAAGAAAATGCTCAGAAACTTCAATTCTACCCATATGTATCCCTTTTCAGGCCTGTTCCCCCCCCCCCTCCTCTACCACAATTAATGAACTTTATGTTCTATGTTCTTTTGTATTTCACTGACATGTGATGCTCCTTTGTGTCTTTTCTGTACTCTAATGCTGGAGCAACCTGGCACAAGAATTACCTTTGTGATTGTTTCTACTTGTCTACTACATAGTCTCAAACACTTTGGACAACAGATCTTATATATTCATAAGTCTGGCAGAAAAAATGTTTACCTTTCAAGGATAAACCCTTATACAAGTTAGAAATGACCCCATGGCATCCAATCTCTTACCAACACACACTCACATAGACACACTTCCACCCCCTTCTTCTTCATTTCTCTTCCCAGTCTCCTCCAGCCCCCCATCCTTTCTGCTGTGACCCTGACTGTTGAAAGTCAGCTTCTATTAGTATCAGCCCGTGCTCATCATTATCCATCAATTAGACTGGCAACAGCCAGGGCCCACAGAGAAACATCTGCAGCCTTTCGGCTGTTTGTGTGTGGCTGCTGTGCTCACTGTGCCTCGCAGAGGTCACTGTTTGAAGAAGACGCGTCTAAATAGAGCAGTCAGTAAAATTCCATGTTTCTGTTTGTAACCCCTCTGTATACAAGAAGTAACAAGACGCAGACCTGTGGTCCATGGAACTAAATAAGTGCAGACCAAAGACTATAAAAGATGGCTGTAAGGTCAGTGGAGGTGATGGCGGTCGCCATATTGGAAATGCTGTCTCAAACAAACTTTTAACTTAACAACAGGAAAAGAGCGGTCTTGAGATGCCTGATAAACCGCTACAAGGTGCCCACTCATCAGATAGTGACGGGTGGCTGCATTGCAGTTTGAGCACCGTTTGAACGGTTAAACACACACATCCCTACTTCAAACAAGTGGGACAAATCTTGAAGATGATGGAGCAAAATGAGAGGCACCTGAGGCAAATGTAAAAGATCATGGCCAAGTATCGGAACACCTTGTCAATTTGATCTTTTTTCTAATTTAGTTTTTTTTAAACCATGTTTTAGTGTTTGTCTCTAGTATTTGTAAATTATTAAAAAGGGTAAAACATACTATTTTTTTAATTAATGAACTGTAAGCACTAAGGGCAACATAAGCTGTGAAAAAAACAAATTAAATGTGTCAGAGCCATTTTTGGATGTCCTGAATGTGAGCATACTTACATGCATATTAGACTTATCAAAGTGAATAACTGACTTCACTCAGCACTATAACACCAGGCTTTTGAAACAGTAATGAGATTTCTGATTCTCACTTATCTTAATTAATTGCCATGACTAAAAACAAATGACATATCAGACTATATACTCTATAAAACTGCTGAGCATGTTGATTTCATATGATCGAATAAAAAAAAAAAAAAAGAGACTCAAGACATATGTAGAAAAGTCAAAAAATGCTGCTGCAAACTCACCGATGGATTCTATAATGGACTTTGAAGTGCTCAGGGCGAAACACGTGATGTGCCCAACAGCATAATAAGCAGTATCATTTATTAGGTTAACTATTATCTGATGCCTCATTGGCTGATGCATCGTCCTGGAGACCGCAATCCAGATTTAAATAGATCCTTAGCCTACGGAATATCTGATGGTAGAAGAGACTGTTTCCTAATCTTGGGTCCCAGGGAAGACTGCAGCACAGCAACAACCCCCCTGCTTTAGAGGAGCGCCTGCTCTGCATGATGTGTCAATTTCTCATGGCTTGATGAGGCCGTGCGACCGACATGACATGAACATCTCAGATTAGAGACGTCTTTCTGCCGAGGATCTGTTTGTCAGCTTTGTCCCTCTGGCCTCATCCTCAATGATCGACAAGGAAACTCAGCCAGGATTACACACTGCAGGGATGACATGACGTGCTCTCTGTGCCAAATACAACGTGAACAAAGTGGATGTATTCAGATACTAATTTCCAGGCTGTGGATTCATATTTGAGAGTTAAAAATGTTTTTCTTGATGTGTTTGTTTAAGATATCATCATGCTTTGTGTGCATTTACTGAATTGAATATCAGATAATGAAACCTTCTTTGTTTTGTGTCTCCATCAGCAATGGTACACCAGCACTATGAACCTTTTGGAACATGGCTGACTGACCGCATGGACCTGCAGCTCCATGTTTATCAGCTGAAGATTCTCATCAGGGTTGTCAAGGTTAGAACCTCTGCACACTTCATTTGATATTTTAAATTTTTAATCTCATGCCTACAGCTCTGGAAAAAAAAGAGACTTTTCCTTAAATTAGAGCCACTGAATTAACAATCAGGGTTATTACACAAAAAATGATTTAATAATACAATAATTTAATAATCAAGTGTTCTGTGGCTAAAAAATAATAAAATAATAAAAACAGCTCAATGAGGACGTTTTATCCGCAATTTGAAAATCGCAGAGATTTGTATGCAATAGAACAAACATTTTAAAATTTTCTCCAAACAACAAACCTCTACAGAGAAAAACTATAAAATATTTTTGCAGTTGTCTCTTACCGTTTTCCAGAGCTGTACACACAAACCAAATGTTTCTATCAACTATTGTCATGAATAGTTCAAAAAGTTTGTAAAAGTGTGTAAAACATTAAAGGGTCAAATCTTCTAGTGGAACATTTGATCATTTATTTGCTGCTTCGCGATGAATTTCACTTCCATGATTGTTAAATTCTCCTCTTTTTACAAATCAAGTGGTTTCATTGTTATCTGCACTTGATACGCTTTCTTTTTCATTTGACCTTTATGGTACAGTGAAGGCATTCATAATGAGAGACAGCAATATCCTCATATCAGAATATATTGTAAGCTAAATGATCAGATATATAGACCAACCAACTGACCATCCAATCAACCAACCAAAAACCAACAACACCCCACCCCTTCACAAACCATCGCTATGCCCAACTAACCTCTCCACAAACAAACCAACCATCCCTCCAACAACCATCCCACCGACCAACTAACCATCCAACCTCCCAACCAACTCTCCGCCAACCACTCCAACCAACTAAATTCTCCACCATCAAATCATTCCATCAACCAACCACTCACTCAAAAAAACTAACCAACTATCCCACAAACCAACCAACTAACCATCAAATCCCCCAACCAACCAACCACTCCACAAACCAACTAATTACTCAGCAAACCAAACAACTAACCAACCACCCCACCAAGTAAACTTCCACCAACCTCCCAGTAACCCACTCCACAAACCAACAAACCACCCCACCAGCTTACCAGCCAACCATTCTACCAACCAACAAACCACTCCAAAAACCAAACTACCACCCCACCCTTCTGGAACATTATGTATCATCTCCTTTTAACCTATATCTAATTTGGATACAAATGGTTGTAGTCCAACTTGTTGTAATGGGACTGTGTAGATCGAGTTAAACTACAACTACACTAAGCCTGTGCAAGCAACAAACAGTGCAATGGTCAACCTCGAATAGCGAAAAAAATGGAGTGAAGTTATCTCAGATACAGTCCCTAGAGAGACACAGACACAACTGAATTTTGTTATTTTAAGTATCTCAGGGAATAAATAATTGTGTATATTGCTTAATCAATGTGATTAACCTCAAATGATCCACTGTCAAAACGCCCTCTTTCTCTAGAAACCTGTAAAGCGCTTTCTTTTACCTTTGCCAATGGTTTTTGTCTGTTTATTTGTTCTAGAAAAAGTATCGTGACTTCCGTCTCCAAGGGGTGCTGGACTCCACATTAAACAGTAAGATGTATGACACGGTGAGGAACCGACTGACCTTGGAAGAAGCCACGGCGTCAGTGAGAGAAGGAGGGATGCAGGGCATTTCCATGAGAGACAGCGATGAAGATGACGATAACTAGAACAAAGAGACTGAAAATCAAGAGAATGTCAAAGCTTTTCAGGAGAGTGAGCGGTGTACTGCCTGAGAACCCATGCAGCCTTCCCCTGAGGTCAAACATCCAAACGTGTTCCCTCCATTCTTTGCTTTGTCAATTCTGTAAGAGTTCAAAATTCATATCTGAATTCATAAAATGTGTTTTTTTTTCTATAACTTGCATGATGCAAGGCTTCCACATCCATTCTTTGGATTTAGACATTTCCAATGTAGGCTCACTGAACTTCGATCCTTCTATTCTAACTAACACTCCAAAAAGCCCACTTCTACAGGAAGTAGGGTTGGATTGATTGGCAATGACATCCTCCCATCATCAATGGATGAGCGTCATCGATCACTTACACTGAAGACCTCCTTAAAAGCTTGTAACATTGGCATGGCAAAGAGGTTTGCCAACTAATGAAGGTATAATCACCAACAGAGCAGCCAACACTCTGAGGTCGTGCCCCCTGTCTGATGCTGTCTGTCTCCACCCTCTTGCATGCACCCTCATGCACCTTTCTATCACAGTCCATCAATGGTTTGTGGTCATTTTTAAAGTTTACAGCCTTTAATCCTGTTGCTTATGCATAATCTGTTGGATGCAGCAAAAAATATATAGTATATATATATATATATATATATATATAGACTTCATTCAGTCAGGACATCATCATCTACCAATTTGGTCAACGTCCCAAAGCTCTAACCTTAAGCAACAATGATTGCTTACTCTTGAAATAGGAACAAAAATGTGTCTATAATATCAAAAAGAGTTTGAGACAAGCACAAATGTGACAATGATCACTCACCATGTGTAGCAGCCTTGTAAATGAGGAATAATAAAGGCAGGAGATTGCATCAGAATGAGGTTAATCAATGGAAGGCATGCAAAATACTTTGTTGTACCTTCTTGTGTCCACAGTCTTTGTACAGGAGCTTTTCTGTTGCTTGTTTCTCAGTTTTCTTCCACACGTAAAAAGGATTATATAGAATAGCAACCTGTTTTATCCAGTTCAAGAGAATAACTACGAAAACAGTCAAACGATTCAGACCTCAAGACTATTCTTCCAAATAAATAATGGAAACAAGTGTTTCCTAAATATCCTGCAAATGAATGCTATATCAGCTGTTCACCATCCAACAGATCCAAATATCCAGTAACTACCTTTTGTGCACTCCAAGTCCCAATTTTCAATACAAAAACCAATGCTGTTTAGCATTTTCAGTGCTCAGCATCCAAGCCACACTCGTACAATCTCACTTTTTCCTCGCTTTCCAATCAAATCAAGAAAAGGCAGGACCTCTTATATCATCCTCGTCAACAACAACGCAAGAGGAAAAACTAATGTGATTTGTCTTTACAAGGGTACACTTTCAGGTCCAAAGCTGCTGCTAATGCAGGGTAAGGATTCCTTTACATTGTCTGTGTAGGTTCTCAGTCATCCAGGTCATGGGAAATTCCAAGCGTTATCCAAAGGCAACTGGACTTGGTCGAAGATCTTGAGGAGGTTTCACCTCTCCTCCTTCGAAAGGCTTCTTCAGTTCTAAACTACCTGGTGGACGGAGCTAAAAATGGACTCAGCTAACGACTCTGATGCGAGTCAGGCTTAAATTTGTAGCTCTGTCCACCTGTTATACCAAAACTGAAGAAGAGATCTTCAACCAAGTCCAGTTGCCGTTTGATGAAGCTTCAAATTCCTCGACTTTATTTTCATGTTGTCTTGGCGAAATGTCCTCCAATAAAGAAAATTATTAAGCACATGGAGCTATATAAAAGACCTGTCACTACAGAGGGAAGCAGAAGTCAACTTCCATAACCTATAGCAACAGCAAGCACCTGTGAGAAGCACTCTGAAACTTAGGTCGCGGCCGCTGCCAGTCCAAAAAAAAACGGCGTTAATGGACACTTGCCCTTAAACTGCAAAACTCATTGGACGTTTCTAAAGTATCTCCTCGATTTTGATGAGCAATATGAATGATCTTTTTTTTTTATTAATTATGTTTATGAACAATGCTATGTTTATTTTGTGTTCTGCTTCTGTTGGTGCAGCTACGATGTGTGTTGTATAGCTATGAATGGTCACTCAGTGGACCCGTATCATGTTTAAACAATAAAAAAATGTATATTTAGAGTGATTGGCTGAAACATGATGTCACAGTAACGGCTTTCGTTTGTTCTAGGGTTACTTTGCAAAGTGTGTCTCTGACAGTCACAAATGATATCCAGGCATCGTTGAAGAAATCGCTGAGCGGTGCAAAAAATTGTATAATTCTAGTAAAATAGTGACACAAACTGAGAACATGATTCTGCATATTAACCTTCACATTTCATGTTGGCGCTCTTACTATTATCATATGGAGATCAACTCCATCTTGTCCAACTGTTCAACACAAGTGTCCTCTTTGTTCATCACTTCTCACTTGGTGAAAAATCTGTTAGCAAAATAGTGTCTAATGAGGTCTTACTATGTCTTGTTTTTAGCCGTTGTGTAGCACAAATTCAACTGAATTGTTGTTTTGCAGGATGCAGTTTGTGATGCTGTTGACCTGTATTGTTTATTAGCTGCCCTCGCTGTTATAATAAATAGGGTGGACAATAAAAGAAATAGAAACATCTGTAAGAAAATGCAATATAATTCAGCGGCACTTCAAAATGCATGGTTGAACAGAAACTTGATTTGACACACTTTAACCTTCATGAAGGTAGACTTGATTTCACGACTGTTTGATTAAACTGCATTAATTTTAGCACGGTGGCACGTGAGTGAATTTGTAATTATTATTATTATTTAACAATTAAAGCCGTAAGAGCAGAGGCCACCATGTTCACCCCCATATTTCCATACAGACTTGTTTGAAGGTGCAAACGTAATGAAGGCTGTTAGAACATCATAAGTAGACATCCAGACATGCATCGTCCTGAGTGTGTAGCTAAAGCTGTTTTCACACAAGCACCTCGGAAAATTTCTTTAAAATTCAGGATAGGCTGCCCCTGAAATCTTCATGAATTTCATATTCTCATATGTCCGTCACAATTAAGGCTTTAACATTTACAGAAAACTCCTGAAAAACTTCTGATATTTGCACGAGGAGCTGCATGTGTGAACGCAAACAGCCACATTTTCCCCAGAGTTTCTCCTGCCAGCCTCCCAGTATTTTTTCTACATGTAGTCAGAGTGAGCTGAGAACACAGCAGGATATAATCAGGAGAATTCACCTCGAGCAAGTGGGAGAGGTCGGTGACGTTTATATCCAGTGACCGGTGCATGGTGTAAAGACAGTATGCACAAGACCGGAGCAGTCCTCCCTGAAATCATTTTGACATTTTCAGGAGGGCAAAAGTGAAAACGGCTAAAAAATAATAATTTCACTGTCAGACGGAGAGTGGAAGATCCCTCCCACTTCCCATCTGATCAGACAGGAAAAACTTCTCATTGTAAAGCAATTCAGGAAGATTTCAGGGTGTGTGCCTGTCCTGAAGTTTTCTAGACATTTTCAGGAGGTGCATGTGTGAAAACAGCTTCAGTTACACACTCAGGCAAGGCAAGACATGACGTTTAAAAAAGAAGGTGCAGAAATGACAGGTTGCTGGTTAATCGTTAAGAGTCCAACACTTTATATAGGCACAGTGTTTTGCCTTTATATATCAGTGCTACCGTGTTTGAAGATGGGACTAACTGCGGGATATAAATGTCATTGGCCCTGCTTCAGGCAATTTTATTTTTTTTAACCTGAATATGACCTGCTGCATTCAAACAGCAGCTCACCCCAACTCCATCTGGAGTTTTAACAGCAGCAGGTCGTGGTTCTCTAGTGAGAAGTGCATACGGCTTTACAGGTCTAGTTTCCACACCAGTTTTCAGCCAAAAATAAGTTAGCAATCCCATTTTAGTACTGTTTGATGAACGGCTGAGGCTAAGAGACGGAAGAGGACGGTGAGGGATAGAGTTAAGAAGAATAAAAGAGAGAGCGACTCGAGTAAATATTAGGCTTTGACACGTTGGCGAGATTTAGTGAAAGAGTAGGCTGAAAGTCCAACACCGAACTGGTTAGGTCAATACACTGTGTTTTACGACGGGGCAGTTGCATTCAGAGACCATCGGGGGGTGCCAAAGTGCACAAAACAGAATTCCTCCATAAAGTTGTTCAAAAGAGACGGAGGACTGACCTGCTGATGTTGCCAACGTAGGTGAAGTGCAACCAAAAAAATCACTCTCACACTTTGTTTCTCCAAGTGAGGAATAACACATTCACGGTTTCCAAAATAAAGTTCAGCTGCTGGTCTTAAAATGGCACAATGGTTTCAGAATAAAGTAGAAGAAAAAATATCTCAAAGAGAAAATTGTCAAATTTGTCAGTTGCAAGAGAGGGTTATAAATCAAAGAGGATACAAGTTGGATCTCTTATGTTACCAACAAAGGGTTTTAATTTGGTAATGGCCACAATCCTTTACTCTCCTACCACCTAACGTTCTTCCATTAGTGAGAAAGCGGATATTTTATTTTGAAAAGAAGTTAAGGACAAGCTGCCTACAGTACATGTAAATCAATCAGTGATCACTGAAATTACCACAACAGTCAAAAATGGAACTTTGACTTCATAAATCTAAAATGTTCCTTCCTATATTTCTTTCAGATAATTATCTCGTTTTCAACTTTTTTCACTTTTTAAACAAACGATCCATTTTGTCCAATTGTATTGAAATCTGTTGAGTTTATTTGCCACAAAGGATTTAAGTTCTTGTATGTACCCTGTACTTCATTTCTGGATGTATGACGGAGTGAATCCACATTTTTATAAAGGGATGAAGGGAAGTTTGGTCTGCTTGTCTCTCCCCTCTGTCAGCTGTTTTCTAAACTGTTATAGAGCTGTGTGTTGCAAGTGCTGCATGTCCCCGGTATTCACTCCCTCCCCCCAAAGTGTTTTCTTTTCTTTTTCTGCTCCAAGTGTGACGTTTGTGGTGGGTTCATCATGCTTCTGCCTTCTAGAGGAACCCACCAATGCCAAGAACATTTAAATAAAGGTGAACAGCAAACATGGAAACAAGTGGTCGTCTCATTCATAGCTCAAAGGCAGGGTTGGTCATTTTTGAAAACTAGCATGATTT